TAAACAGTTCCAAAGGCACCCTTTCCCAGTTCTTCCTTGAATCCTTTTGTGGCATCTTCAAGTTCTTTGTATGTGAAGCAACGCAGATTCGTCTCAATCTCTCCTTTCCCGTGGATTCTGTTGAGATCCTTAAGCTTTCTTTGATAGAAACAGAACAGAAACAGGGAAATCACAGCCAAAGTGGAAAGGTTGAGAAATGCTGATGTGCCTAAGAGGACCGACAGAATGAGAATGACTTGATTCTGCTTTTTTTCACTTGGATTTGGATTGGGAGGGTTCACCGGAGGTTCATCTGATTTCAGTACCTTGATAAATACCTTTCTGTCAATTTGTTCTTGATTGAACCGCCCATTTGAAAGCGGTAGTTTCTTCTTCCAGCAGCTTCCGATGCCATTGTTCAACTCCGGAGCCTGCAGGATGGCTACTGCACAATTACAGTCAACAAGGCAAGCCCTTCTGCATTCTGTCTCATTTACAGGTTGCAGGAGTTCGTAGTCACTAAAGGGCCAATCTGCAAATTGCATTATATTGAACTCAAAACGATCCTCCCCAATAATAGAGCCTTCCTCGTTACAGTCTTCTGGCCTGCTTTGGTAGTTGGGCTTGCATCCAAAAAGTGGATTCTTAGCATCCAGGCTAGAAAACCCGCGTGGGCACGAACATGTCGCCCTCCCATCCTGCTTAGGTTGACAGATGCTGTTGTACCCACAAGGACCACTTCCCCGTGGATCTGGACTCACAAAGCTGGAGCAGATATCCTTAGGTCTATACCACCAGGATTCCCAGGTTTCATCTCCATAGGAGGTCTTGGAGTGAGAATACAGGGTGAAAACTCCATCAAAACCAAGTGTTGCCCTGTAGTATGAGTCCTGTTTTGGGACTGTCTTTTCTGGCGCAAGCGGTACAATACTTCCACTTGATTTCTTGATCTGGATATACCCGGATTTGTTGAAGATCAGCCTGGAACCATCTGTGATGTTTAAGTAAAACTGGAAAGCTGTTCCGGTGACGACATCTATTTGATTGAGGACTAGAGATTCGGAGGTGAAACGGAGCTGAAATCTTCCCTTCTTGTAGCTTGTTCCGGAGATGGCTGATGAAAGGATGCTGTCTAGGCCTAGTTCTTGTCCTGGCAAGATTGTGTCTGTTGGATATTGGAAGCTCTCCCATATGTTCTCTGAATTCCTGCCTGTGATGACAAAGTTTCCA